ATAAGTAATAAAATATAATTCAATAATAGCAATATATATATATTGTGTAATAAAACATATTTTCATTTTGATAATAAATAAAATTATGTCTAAACTATAAATTATGTAACATTTTATGTTATATATTATTGGGATTACTAAACATAACTTATATTAGATAAATGTTAAAAATATTATATTATATATAAATATCTTATGACTAATATTATTATACTTATTAAACCAAAAAATACCACTAAATGTATATAACTTGAATGCTAAGCATTACGTTAATATTATAATAAAAGTATAAATATATCCATAAAATAAATATATTAGTATTATTAGTATTATTATCTTTTCATATGTAAACCTATGGCTTATAGCCCCGTAAACAAGCAATCTATTTATGGGTTATTTATATTATACAATAAATTTAGATATTCAAAGATCGATATTTGCATTAAACTATAATATACAGTATATACTAATATATATAAATATATATAAATATATATATAATAGAAAATTTATACATTGAAAATAAAATGATTTTAAGCGCACAGTATTGATAAATACTATGAAAGTATTATCAAGTTTTATGTGATTTATTAAATTGAATATTATTATCGAAAATAATAAATAAAAATTGAATGCAATTTTTCAACAAAATATATAGCATTTATTTATATAAATATATAATATATCATACAGTATATACTGTACTACAGTAAATATCCTCAATAGCTTAAAATACATGCAATAAAATAGATAATTATAATTAGCTAAAGGAAACTCTAGTAATGTCAGTCTTGCATATAATAAATATAAAAATTTTAAATCAAATTACATATAAATCAAATATTTTAATTATCAGATTTTTAAAAATTTTTATATGATTTTTACTAATAATATAAATTTATATATTATATATATATTTGACTCAATGTTTTCAAAAGTTATGTCATTGATTTTATTTTAATAAACGACACACACATACACACACATGTTTATATAATATGTTAAAATAAAAGACTAATTTATTTTCAACAAAAATCAATACACATTTATGTCGTTTATATTATTAATAGTGTAGAAAACTTTTGCAATAATTTTTAAAACCTAAACAATACAACTACTAATAGTAGTAATAATAATAATCAAAAAATTCTATAGAAATTTCCGTAATATTCATAAATTCTTAATAAATTTTGGTTTAAGTTTTTAAAACATAGAGAAAAAAAATTAAATTAAATTCTTTAGAAATAAAATGAATTGATATCATGGCATCAATTTCTGGAGACAATTTAATTAATACATTTTTTCTTTTAATATATTAGATAATAAATATATAAATATAAATATATGATAAAGACGTTTAAAATTAAAACATAATCTAATTTATTAAAAATATATTATATATATATATATATAAAATATAGATTCTAATAATAAATATCTAATCTAAATATTTTAAAATATTATATTTAACAAAAGTTGTATAAAATACAGTTCATTCACATACACACACACACACACATTATATTTTAAAAAATATTTTTAAATAATACTAATAAATAGATTTTTAAATATATATATAAATTTTATATACTAACAGAATCATCACATTTGTTATTAGTATTATTGGACTTTTGATGATTATTATTATTATTTGATGAACTATTGTTTTGAGCACTGTTACGATTTTTGTCCAATTGATAGTAGACGCCGGCAAATATCAACATATTTAGTATAAGCAACGAACAGCCGATACCGATGGTTACGGACAGTGCGGTCGAATAGTTTTCCGACTGGACAATCACCGACGTAGTGGTCGTATTGTTGACATTTTTCGACTGATAGGCCGTCGGATTGTTGATGTCGTTGTTGTTGTTGTTGGATGTTGTGGTCAATTCAAGTACTTCGCTGCTTGAGAGGACAGTACTGGACAAATGATGGATCAGTTCGGTGGTGGCACTGATGACAATGTTCTGGGAAACTGTTGGCAACGGAGACAAAAATTTGTACGCAATTTGCCGGACAATGCCGTCGTAAGTGGACAGGTCTTCGTGATCGATGAGCAAATGATGGCGAAGATAGACCTGTTCTTCGCCGGGATTATGAAGACGTGGTATCAGATTCAGCCAAAACGATAGTCTATGGCTCTGGTAGTGGTCACGTATTTTTGGCTTAAGCCCTGGTAGTCCAAAGTTATTCAAAAAAACAGTTAGTTATTTATATATGGCATACCTTAAGACAGTTTATACTGTATTTTATTATTATTAATAATTTAATAGATAATTATGAAAAAACAAAAAATTATTTTTTTTTCTACAATTAAACTGATTTTTTTGTTGTTGTTGTTGATTTACAACACAAAAACTTTTTTGTTGAAAATTATTTGTAAAATTTATATTTGTTTTATTAAAAATATTTATTTTCATAATCACACAAATCTGCGGATAATTATATTTGATGCAACATTTTGTTCAAAAATTTTTTCCACTCTCTCTCTCTCTCTCTCTCTCACTCTCTCTCTCTCTCTCTCTCTCTCTCTCTCTCTCTCTCTCTCTCTCTCTCTCTCTCTCTCTCTCTCTCTCTCTCTCTACTGTAATATGTGTTTAGTTTGATAAACAAAAATTGTTTAAAATAATTATAGAGGATTATCGTTTATGTGTGCATAACATACAAAATGCTATGTGTATTATGAATTATTTAATATTATTAATATTTTAACGAAAAATGTTTAACAAAACTTTTATGCAAATTAAGGGTTAAAATCCTCTCTAAAAACACTGTATAATAATTAGGGCATTTGTGATGTATATGTATGTATGTGTGTGTGTGTGTGTGTGTAATAATTTATAATTTTTAGTGTTATGTATAAATTATATTGTTTATGCTCTTAAATTTTGTATACATTTATTTATACATAATCTATGAAAATGTTATTTTTCCTCTACTTAGCAAATATTGATAAATAAAATATACTATATATATATATATACATTATATACATATCATGTGATATAAAATTATTGATTACCAATAGTGAGATACTTTCGCTGAATGGTGTCATATGTGGACCAAACAACCGATTGATAAGCCATTTGCGAGTTTTCCGACTCACGGCTGCCCTCACTGTCGGCGGCATTGAATCGATCGCCGATTTTCGTCGATTCAGACGACGTTTGCTGTTCAGACCATATGTTGGGATCACTGATGAGATATCATATATAGATAAATATACAGATATATATAGATATATAGATATATGAAAGAGAGAGAGAGAGAGAGAGAGAGAGAGAGAGAGAAAAAGAGAGAAAATAGGAAAAAGTATAAGCATTTAAATGTGTATTACTTTTGTTTTGCGAGTATTGAATTTATATCATTTATATTATATATATATAATATATATAAGTTATATAACTAATGATATTAAGGGTTTTTCTTCAAGAAAAATATAAGTAAACGTAGACTAAAATCTTTAGTATAGAAAAAAAAGATAAATGAGACAACAAAAAAACAAAAAACAAAATCAAATACAGTAAAAATCGTTTTATTTGAAATAAATAATAGATATATGAATTGTATAAATTTATATATATATATATATATATATATATATATATATATATATATATATATATATATATATATATATATATAGATATATATATATCATTCAATAATTTTCAATACAATATAAAAGAAAATATTGTATTTCCAGAGAAAACAGTTATTTTGTTTATATAACTACTCATTATAGATATAGAGAAAAATAAAATGATAATCAATTGATGTTCAACTATGGTATACACTACTATCATATACAGTATACTAATATATATATATATATATATATATATATCTGGCCATAACCATACCATTTGTACAATTGATATAATATATAATAATTTTTTTTTATAATAGTATGTATTTTCTGAGGTATATTTTGAAGATTATTATTTTAAAGCCATTACTTTTTTTATAATACACTTAATAATAATAATAATAAAGAAAAAATAAATATTCAATTTTGTAAAGTGCGTTAAATAATTTTTATATGCATAGCGTATATCAATAAAATATACTTTATTTTTTAAAAATATATATAATAATTTTTCTAATACTAATGTATTTACTGCATATTAATATTATATAAATGAAAAAAATAAAAGATATTTTACTTATATATATTATAATATATGGGTTAAACTAAGTTATTTATGGGTTAAGAAAAAACCACTATTAGTACAGTAGACCCTCTGATGTCTAACTAATGTTAGATAATTATTGGACAAAAAAAAGAGACTATTTCAGAGCACTGGTATATAGTGTATATATATTTATAATATATACAGTATATATATAGTATATATATATATATATATATATATATAAATATATTGTATATATATATACTATCACTTAAGTCAGTACAGAATCAATAGTAAACAAGAAAATTAAAATCTCAGGAATTTTGCAGATTCTTCTCTCTCTATCTTTTATTTTTAATTAATAGCAAAAATAACACAAAACACAAGTGATGTCTCGTAATAATAATAATAATAATGATAATAATAATAATAATAATAATAATAATAATAATAATAATAATAATAATAATAATAATAATAATAATAATAATAATAATAATAATAATAATAATAATAATAATAATAATAATAATAATAATAATAATAATAATAATAATAATAATAATAATAAACATCAATTAATTACCCAAATCATACATGTCTTAAGAGTCATACAGTATTATCTATTTACAGTTAACAGTAAAAAAATAATACCGTACTGTACTCTATATATATGATAAATGTTTTTAAAAACTTGTGTGAGTTTTTTTCATGTAATGTCTTATTTAATCATAAATTCATTGTATGAAAGCAAAAACTACTGTATATATATATATACAGTAAGTTTTATATACACTAAAAATTATATGATATTTGTTAGAAATTTGTTTTATAGTAAAAGCTATAATAAAATTACACTAAATTCAAATATAATAAAATAGTCTTTTTTATAAATTTTTGTATAGTTTTTCTTAAAAACTAAAATGTGTCACAAATTACATTGTTTTTAAAGTTTTCTTTCGCTGATTATTAGTATTTTTATTATGATGTTAACAATAATATACTGTATATATAATTCAGGGTTAAGCAAGGTTTTGGATTTTAGGGGGGGGTAGACCGGGGTAAAATTTACAAAATTCTCAAAAAATCTTGGGGGGGGGTATTGGGTGGGGTAAGATTTTTATTGCATTTTTAAACGGCAATTTTTTCAAAAATCCAAAATCAAGGGGGGGGGGGGGGGGGTCTAGAGAAAATTCCCTAAAAATTCCTTAAGTTCCCGAATATTCCCATGTAAATTCAATAAAATTCCCACAAGTTCCCGTATAAATTCCCGGGAAAATAGGTAAAATTTCCAAAAATATAAAAAAAAACTTAAAAAACTTAAAAATTAACAAAAATTTAAATTTTAACAAAAAATAAATATTTTTTAAAAAATTTTTTTAAAATTAATAAAAACTTAAATTTTAACAAAAAAAAAATAAAATAATGTATTTAAGATTTAAAAATAGTTGATAAAAGCATTAATGATACACTATGAGTTATTTTTAGTATTTTAATAATTTTTAACTTTTAACATAATTAATTTTTTAAACAATACTTAATGTTTATAGTTTGTTATATATTTTTATTTTTATACAAATACTGACTGAATACTACTTATTTAACTCAAATTTCGTTAAAGTTTAATTATATTAAGTACAAAATTGAAAATATTTTTAAATTTTTTATTTAAAATTTAAAAATTATTAATAAAAACATAAGTATTTATTGTTTTATTAACTTCTTAAACTTATATTTAAATTGTAATATGATTACTCTTTTCAACAAATAGGTAATTTTTAATTTTTTAGTTTATTTTAATTAAAATAATGTTATTTTTTGATGACTTTTAACGTTATTTTAACTATTTTTAATCAATAATTAGATTTTTATAAATATTAAAAACATAAAAACACTTACTAAAATAGTATCAACTAAAATTAAAATTTTTATAAATTTCAAAAAAATTTTCGGCGCCTTCGGCGCCGAAATTTTAGGGGGGGGTCATTTCTCCTCGTTTTTAAGCGACAATTTTTTCAATTTGGTCAAAAAGTCTGGGGGGGGTAAAATCCCAATTTTTCGATCTTAGGGGGGGGTATTTTGGCCTTACCCCCCCCCCCCCCCCCCCCCCTTACTTAACCCTGATATAATTATATATATACAGTATATATATATATAGTGAAATTGCGTACTCATAATAGATTAGCGCAAATAAAGAAAATTTTTTCTTTATTTTTGTTATTAAATTAGCTAAAGCTTTGCCCTAAAGGTTATTGCGAGTGAATAAATGAAAACAATGAGAGAGAAAGAGAGAGAGAGAGAGAGAGAGAGAGAGAGAGAGAGATTGACTATTATTTAGCTAAAAGTGCTGTAGATTTTTATACCCGAATTTAGCAAAATTAATCCAATAAGTCATTAAAGCTTCCGAAAGAGTGACTTCAGCTCTGCTATAATTAGTAGCAAAATGTGTCATTGATTTCGCCAATAAATGATACGAAACGGGAGCACCAAATATATAAGACAGCTCTTCACTGTGGGAACAGCTCTGCCGGACATTCAGTTTGTTGGTCACCGACTCCTCGCTCTGTAATTAATTTAGAGGACAAAAAAAATAAAAATAATTTTTATCATCATTTTCATTGCAAATGCTTACATCAAAAATACATTGTAAGCATTATTTATTGACATTTATAGTGTATTTTGTGTGTATATGTATGCGTGTGTATGTATGTATGTGTGTGTATGTATGTGTGTGTGTGTGTGTGTGTGTGGTTGTGTGTGTGTGTGTGTGTTTGTATTCAATGTGTATACAGTGTATATCGATGTACTTATATCGGATATCACTGCTCAGCCTTTTTTTATCGGTGTGTATTTGTGTGTTATATGTATGTCCTGACAGATAACTGTGTCATATATTAAAACCTAGATTTGTTACAATTACTTACTCTCACTGTTGTTGTTGTTTATGACTTATAAGTACAATATATATATATTTTTATAACATTTATTAAGTATAACCAGTAATAATAGTAAATTTATTTATTAAAAAAAAACCTAATGTATATATTTTAAGTAAAATTTATGTTATCAAATTATTTTTGTCAGTATCAAAATTTTAGCTTGCTCAATAATTGATATATAATATCTAATTATGTCATATATTATGTGTGTGTGTATTGTATGGTATTGTATTGTATTATAGAGTAAACTTGTATATTATATAATAGGAGAAAATGCTGATACCATTAGCACAGTTATCTAATTTATTATAGTCAGAGAGGAGTACAATATGTAAGGGGAAAACCTAATGAAAAGTCTATATACTGTATATATATAAAGTGTTGTTTGAAGTTTAATATGTGTTAGAAATCTGAGGAAAGTTAGCTGAATCTGAGAATCTGTTTCTGTATAGAGTATAGTATATGATATGTCGGACACACACAACAAAATTGATGAGAAACGACAATTGAGTAGTTTGTGGACAGGCATACCTGATGCGTGAATATATAGAAGTATGTTTTACTACCACCACCACCACCGCCACCATCACTGTTGGCAACTACCGGTGCCGTATCTGTCGACGATTGCCGTTGATGTCCTGAATGTAAATCACCGGTCTGTATGAGCGGCGATACCACTAATGAATCGCTGAGTATGTCGGCCATCGACTCGAGTATATTGATAGGCTGTTCCACGGCTCGCGACCAATCCGTGTACTCATTAATCAACGTTAGAAATATTGACTACAAAAATGAAGTGACAGACAGTCGTACAGATTGAGTGTTTGTGTGAGTAAGTGTTTGGAGAGAAAGAGAGAGAGAGAGAGAGAGAGAGAGAGAGAGAGAGAGAGAGAGAGAGAGAGAGAGAGAGATTGAGAGAGAGAAAGTGATCACAAAAAACCGTACGATAAACCAATGCAAAAATCGATGCAAAATATAATTTAATTATATATAATACTATGGTATAGTGTACTGTATTTAAGCACACAATCTAAACATTATGTTTATTAATTACAGTTATTTTTTTTTAGTTATTTGCATTAATAACTAACTTAGCAAACAAAACAAAAAAAATTAATTATTAGTATTTTTTATTCTACCGATTTTAGATATATATATATAATTTTTTTAAAAAATAATTACTACTACTATTGATATTATTAATGATATCATATATGATTTATTATTATTATTTTTTGTTGTTGCTATGTTTGATATTTAAAAAACAAATAAATTAATTAAACTACAAATAAGTAAATAAACAAACAAACAAAAAATATAAATAATAATTACTAACTATTTATTTTATTATAAATATAAAGTACATATTAAACAATATTTTATATGAAAAAAATAAAAATAAATAAATCTCTTATGAATTAAAAACATTTGTTGTTTTTTAGTATATAAAAATTAAACTAAAAAAATTTAATAATAATTTTTTTTCAAAATTCTATAATTTCTAACTAAATAAAAATATATTAATTAAAAAAAATTAATATTATGTATTAGCAAATATATGACCAAAAAAATAAATAAAATTAAAAAAGTTTATAATTATAAATCAAAGAATCACCTGTTGATGAAAATCAAACAAATTTCGGACGAGTGTTCTTAAGATGCGATCCCTTCGGGTGCCGTCAATACCGAGACGTTCCTCGTTTGCCGAGAAAATACAGGGACTGTCGAGTCGGTTGGAGCCGAACATCAGGTCGTACTGTTGGCCGACACTCCAGTAGGACTTATTGAGCTTCGGGTTGACTCCGGGCGACAACAGTCGCCGCGGATCTAAAGGCACAACAATTGAGTCGATGATTGGACCGAATGCTGTCAAATAGTCTGGCGTTTTTAGGTCGACCCTCAATATGTCGTCTACTTTACGCTTACGCAGACAGTCGACAGTCGACTCCTATTTTTTTTAAAAATTAATAATTTAAATTTAAATGATTTTTTTTGTTATTATTTTCATATTAATAATAATTATAATAATATAAATTATACATGAATTGGACAGTTGAGTGCTTGAGCTAATGTCTTGGAGTAGACATCTGTATCTCTGGCTATAGCCCAGGGACTGAGTGCCGATCCACTCATTAGTATCACGCGTTGAAATAAACCTTTTTTTAAAAATATATATCACATTATATTTTTATATTCAAAAAAAAACATTAAATAAATGATATCACAGTACTTAAACATGTTATGATTTTGACATAAATATTAAAATAATTATTGAATTGAAAACAAAATTACTATTAAAACACATCAACAACAAAAAAAAAACATTAACAAAAATCTTGCGCTTGAATTGATATAATTTTTTTATTTGCTAATATCAATGTCTAACACATTGTTTTTTTAAATTACATATGACAGTAATTTTTAGATTTATTTAACTATTTTTTTAATGGTAAAATTTTTTTTATAAAAATCATTTATTAATTTTTTTTGTTTTATATATATTTTTAAGTTACAGATACAGATCAAAAAATAAAACTAAAAATTTTTAAATAATATGATTTATTGTTTATTATTCCAATTGAATAAAACACAAAAAAAAACAAAACTTATGAATGAGAAAATCAAATACAAAATGTTTTTTCCTGAGTTTTAGGAATAAAAACCAAAGATAATAAAAAAAAGTAAAAAAAAATGTTTTTAAGTTTTTAAAATAAAATATTTTAAAATACAATATTAAGTGCTTTTTACAACAACAAAAATATTAAACTTAACAAACAAACAAAAAATAAATACTTTTATAAATATGTTTACTAAAAATCTAATAATAATTATAATTGTTGTAAATCAATAGTTAAAATTATTGAATTAAGTTAGTTTCAAACATTACCCTTAGCCATGGGTGATATCATTAGTAGATGAGCACAGGCTGCTCCATAGCCGTACCCGATGACCGTTACGTTGTGGGGTTGGCCGCCAAACTCGCCTATATTTTCTTGGATCCAATGGAGGGCCGCCACCTGATCCATAAGCCCATAGTTTCCTCGGACTACACCGTCAACCAGTGCCGGCAAAAAACCTATAAGAATATAACAATATATATATAGAGTAAATAAATTTCTATCTAAATAAAAACATTTTATTTTTTTCTATACTAATAATTATTATAGAATCTAACGTAAATAATACAAAAATTTATTTGTAAAAACTTTACGGATATTTATATAAAGATTTTTTTAGATTTATATTATTTGATTTTAAGTTTTTAATAAATAATTCCAATGAAAGCATTAGTATTTTATGCCAAAATATGATAGTTATTATTATTATTATTATTATTATTAGCAATCTATACAATTATTGTCTATACGGTATGTCAGCAAAAATATTAGTTTATGTTTTATGTTTTGCTAACTGAGTGATAATAATAATAATAATAATGCCTAACAAACAAACACAACTACATATAGAATATTATACTCAACTATATTATAGTATTTTGTTAATACATTGATGGCTAATAATACAGTAATATCTGGTTATGAGAATTGAGTTTATTAAATATAGTGGTGTAATGTATAGGTATATACAGTATATATATATATATATATATATATATATATTATATGTTCACTAATGCATGTGATCTCCAAATCAAACAAAAAACAACAGTCACATAAAAATCTATACTACCCCACTCTCTCTCTCTCTCTCTCCCAATTGCTAGACTATGATTAAGTTAACTAAGATTACATACACATACACATAGAGAGAGAGAGAGAGAGAGAGAGAGAGAGAGAGAGAGAGAGAGAGAGAGAGAGACATACTGCAGACATTAATATTTTTTTGCTAATAAAAATAATAGTATTGATATTACAATGAAATAGTTAGTTAGATATTTAGTTAAAGACATACAGAATAGCAAAAAATATTATATATCAATAGTAAAGAATATTCTGTATGTATGTGTATGTGTGTGGACACACATTTAGGTCTACCATTTAATCTAAATATCATATCTCTGTCAACATTGATAGTGTTATATTAATTTTTGTGAAACAATCATTAATATTAATGTAATATCCACCACAACCACCATCACTATCACCACTAATATTACTACTACTACTGTCCACTATATTAACCGTAAATAGAGAAATATATGTAACAACAAAAACAATTTATTGTTGACTTTCTTAAGGATCTCTCTCTCTCTCTCTCTCTCTCTCTCTCTCTCTCTCTGACACACACTTAGTAAACTAAAATAAGTGACACATTATTATTAGTAGTTGTGATAAAATATACGGCTATTTGCCAGCAAAGGAAAGCCTTTAGCCACTTCATGGCCTCACTGGAGATGACATTACATATCATACCGAATATATATATACACTATATATATACTAATAGATTAATGGCGTTATAAATATTATTTTTGTGCCAACATTTGGCCGATATGTGTGACACACTATAACACATAAAATATAGAGACACTCAGTCTTTCCCCACACTTATACTGTACTTAAGTATAGTATAACATCGAGAAAATAAATTTATGATAATATTAATAAATATAAATCGATGTAAAAATAATTTTATTATAAAATTAACATTTTGTTATTTTAAAAGATAAAATATTTAAATAAAAAATAAATTATTTGTTTAAAATTTATTAATAGGATATTTATTAATCAATAAATATCTATATAATTTAATAACAGTATTATTCCTTTATTATACAAATAAACAGTTTAAACCAATAATTCATAATTAAATTATTCAAATATAATAATAATAATAAGCTTTATTCAAAAAATATAAATTCTGCAAACATTATAAATAAAATTTAATAATTAGTGAATAATAAAATTGGATATTATTTTTTATAAAAATATACAAAAATAATTGTTGAAAATAATTATAATTAAGCAACATAATTAGTAAACATACAGTATAAATTAATAATTAAATAAAATAATTTTTTATTCATAAAAATTATTAAATATAATTATGGCAAATGAAATAATGAAATATATAGTTTATATAATTTTAATTTAATATTTATAAAACTTATAAAATATATATTATTTAAATTTATAATATATATAATATAAAGCGTGACTTAATGGATTTAAACAAAAATTAAAGATTACAATTTTTCCACATATTATAAACATATATATATATATATATATATATAATGTGAAATTGTAATACTTATCTATTCACTATAATAATTGTATACAGTATTATAGTATTTATATAAGTTATATAAATATAATGCAAACATTACTTATAACAGATGTTGTCTGCCAATGATTTTGACACAAACTTGTGAGAGATATCTACTAAAATAAATGCTACAAAATTTTTATCAAAGAGAAAGAGAGAGAGAGAGAGAGAGAGTCAAAGATAATAAAGAATAACATATAGAATATTCATAGCAATTGTAACAAATTGATAGTATTAAAAACAAACAGATATACCATTATTTTTATCAAAAAAAAAATAATTGCTATATATTAGATATTTATATATTAAAATTTATATAATAAAATAAATTCATAATAAAACTATTAAACTTATTTTGCGTTTAAAAAACATTGCATGAATGCACTTAAAACATTATGTGGCACATACTATGTAGATAAAGGTTAAAAAAATATATTTTATGCAATATATTAGATATTTAATAATATATTGCAAAATACAGGTTATATGTATATATATTTGAAGTTTTATATACAATTTTATTACAAATATAATCTTATTATATAAACCATAACTAGTTTGTGATTTTAAAATAAAATTATTTTTTTTTATAACATTCAGTAGTACTGATAGACTGTACCTACTGTACAATATACTGTATATAAAAATTATATAATGTAAATGCTTGTATACAAACTAAACCAAATATCTTATTTAATTTGACTATACTTTTAAATAATTTTACTTAAAAAACATTATAATAACTATCAGATCGTGCGTTATATTAATAATATCTTAAAAATAATTGTTTGATGATAACTATTACAGAGAATATACAATAAAATATTTAATATAAAATAAATTTATACATGCATAATAGTTTCTAAATCTAAATGTAAACACTAAATAAATTTATTGATAAGTAAATATAAAATATGTATAATTTATATGTATTTTACTAAAAATAAAATGCATGCTTTTTGCCAATACAACTATACAATATTAAAATATTACATATATTATTATTATTATTATTATCAATAAGTTAAATATTTATATTTGTATATTGATATTTTAAATTTACACAATAATATTGACACAGAATATTCTGTATATATATATAATATATATATATATTACTATATAATTTTATATATGTATATCTCTATTTGCATTTGCATTTATATTTAAAATGTAAATAAAATATTTGCATATTTAATATGTATGTATATATGTATATCATATATAGTCATACCTAATACTCCCAAACGGTAGTTCAATGTGACGACTACTACCCGTCCAAAACTGGCTAAAATGCTTCCGTCGTATACATTGCCAGAGTTCCAGTCGTAGGACTCGCCGTGAATGAACACAATGACCGGCACTTTGTTTGTTTGTGAGCCTATGGTTTTGAATTAGAAATTATATATTTAAAAAAATTAGTTATTTAGTCTCTAAATACTTTATTATACTGTAATATACAGTAACATATATATTATAATTATACTAGAATTACACAAATGTTGCATTTATAATGTGTTTGTAAATATATATTATACTGAAATATACAAACAATGCTTAATGCAAACAAAAATATTTAATTAAAACAAATTTCAAATATTTTGTACATTTAAAATAACTGCTAATATTATATATATATATATATATACAGTATACCCATTAAATATAACATCTCTAATATTTGTATCAATTTTCATTAATGAAAAAAAATTATCATCGAAATTTTTTGATAAAATTACCCTGGAGCTATGCAAAGAAAATACTATTATAATATATATATATATATATATATTGAATATATAAATGATGATAATATTTATATCGTATAATATTTTAATAATGATGTAATGAGACTGTCAATGGTGTAGACCATTATGTCAATGATGATGATTATGATGATGATGTTTGTCATCAATTTTCATAATAATCATCCAAATATATAAAAATATTATTTATTATTTCAAATCATTTAACTAATAAATGATCACAATTTACTTAATAATAATTATTATTATTAATATTCTACAGTATAATTTAAATATATAATAAATCATCTATTTATATTACAAATACTTTATAATATAACTAAATATTAAAATCTCGTATATATAAAAATATAATAAACATTAATTAAATAAAATAAACATTAATTATATAAAATAAACATTAATTACATAAAATAAAAATTAATTACATAAAACTAAATATAATTTATATTTATATAAAGTTATATATTTATTAATATATTAATTTATTTTATGATTGACATAATTGTTTAAATCAAATGTATTATTAGTCAAAAAATGTTATCAATAATATATATATACTGTACTACAGTAGTAGTAGTGAACATGTAATGAATTGATTTATCATTTATTAAATTATATGACTAAAAGTCTACTAATTAAATAAATCAAATGATATAAAGGTCTCCTAATATTATTTTTATAAGTGATGTCAATCTAATCATAGCATGAAAGATCAAAGAGAGAGAGAAAGAGAGAGAGAGAGAGAGAGAGAGAGAGAGAGAGAGAGAGAGAGAGAGAGAGAGAGAGAGAGCGATAATATCTGAACTATTGAAAAGACATGAAATGAATAGATAAATGAAATGAAAAGATAAAAGAGAAAACTGACGGCAAAATAAAAAAATATATATAAAATTATGGACAAAAAATGTCACTAAAAAATAATGACAATTAATCAATTGGTGACAAATTTTTTTTTATATATTTTTATTAATATGATATATTGAATCCAATTTTGTGAGCACTTAGTGGGGGTATATATTGTATATTTAGTTGTGTGTCTGTGTCTGTCTGTATGTGTAATAATTTTGTGAAACTCATTTGTGACTCTTAGCCAATAACTCTGATGACATATACTGTAAAGTATCTACTGATATATATATATATATATATATATAGCTTCAAGATATCTATCAGAGAGGAAATACAACTGAGTAGAGGAACTCATATGTTGGTAATGTCAACGGCTATCAGCTCTAAATGACACTAATTTTCGTATTATAAGGAAAGGATGGTTTAATATCTGTAAACTTTAGAGTTAGTGAGTGCTTATGTCTATATGTGTGTGTGTTTGAAAGAGAGAGAGAGAGAGAGAGAGAGAGAGAGAGAGAGAGAGAGAAAGACTGGACTCAAAGAGACCCATAAGGACTGGAAGTAATATAGAGATCAATGAAATGTCTGCACTTTGACAACGTTCCTCACTATTGTTCTCAAACAACAAATTTATTTTCATCTCCCTTTCCCTTTCAGTTATATATGTTTCACATCAAAAAACCTGTCTTCAAATAAAATAAAAAATGATGATAAACTACACAATGAAATGAAAAAATAGTTATTTTTTTCAAATAATTTCTTTCTCTCTCACTCTCACAATGTGTGTGCGATTGTCTTATGCTTTTTAAATCTAAACTAACAAATATCTTAAACTGTAATATCATTTTTATAACTACAGTATATATATACGGTATATAAGTTCCTATTAGACATAAAAAAATTGGTTTTACAAAACTAAACTAAAATTTTCTATAATTTTTTTGTGTGTGTTTTGTTTCAAATACACAAAAAAATTATATCATTCATCCATTCATTCATTCAGTTAGTCATTTGCTTTGAAATAATTTTTTAAAAATATTTTTATTTATCTTTTTTGCCACTTCTTTACAAAATTAAACTCTTTTTTTGTTGTTGTTGTTAACGAGTAATCAATTTTTGTAAAATACAAAATATAAAGTTATATATATATATATATACCGGTAGTCTATAAACAGTAGATTTTTATCGACACACTTAATCACAAAATCATTTATTAGTAATTTTTTTACCGTAATTTCAATTTCAATTAATCTTAATTTTTTTTTTGAACAATTAAAATACATTAGATTTGATTTTTTTAAATGTTTAATATCAATAAATTCAAAAAATAACTTCCCGGTAAAACATAATTAATTTTTTTTTATTTTTAATTTTATAAATATTTTTTTTTGTATATTGCACTTTAAATTAATTTTCTTAATTATAGATTTAAAACTGATATATTAATATTCAAATATTTTCAATTCAATTTTTGTTTACTATAATTGTAAAATAGATAAATATATTTTTTTAAGACACACTAATTTAAACAAATGCTTTTTATTAATAAAATTGAAAACAACAAAAAATAGCAATTTTATGCAAATTTTAATAACATTATAACAAAAAAAAAACAGAAAACATTATTTAATCATTAAAGTAGCTTAAAATTATATGATATATCTATATATATATATTGTGAAACGATCATCATTTATAATATAGATATAAATTATATATTATTTAAATATAATATTAAACATTTATCATAGTTTTGAAAATTTAAATATAAAAAAATGAAAAATAAAAATTCAATGAAATGGCAGTAAAACAAAAACAAAAAAGTATTTTAAGTGAATATATTCATAGATTTTTTTCATAGCATATATTTTCCATATTATTTAAAGTATTTTTCTGAAACAAAATAAAAAAAACAACAAAACAAATCAAAAAGTTTTCTCAAAATTAATGATTTTCTTTCAAAATCACTGGTTGTTTATGGCGTTAAAATAAATTATTACTATTTTTTTTTAAATCATTGGATATTTTCACATAAACAAACAAACAATCGATAAATAAACAAAATTTGATTATAATTATGATTAATTTTTATCAACAAAAAAAACAAAAACAAACTATTATTGGAAAATCATTATCAATATTTTTTAAAGATCATAATATTAAAAAAATATATGATATATTATTATTATATCAATATTATATATATTATTATTATTAATCACTTTAAAAAAAATCCTAATCTGAATTATTAACTAACAAAATTCAATGTCAACTATTATACAATAGTTATACACATAAGAAAATATTTTAAATTACAAAAAAATAATACGATATTATAATATATTACTATATTTTTAAGTTTAATATTATTAGTAATGATTTTCTAATATAATTACTAATAAGCCAACAAATTAATTATTAATAATATATGAATTAACTCAATAGTTTGTCAATTGAAAGTTTTATAAAAAAAATTTAATCAATCGTGATATATGTATGTATGTGTGTGTGTGTGTGTGTGTGTGTGTGTGTGTGTGTGTGTGTGTGTGTGTGTGTGTGTGTGTGTGTGTGTGTGTGTGTGTGTGTGTGTGTGTGTGTGTATGTATGTATGTATGTATGTATGTATGTATGTATGTATGTATGTATGTATGTATGTGTATGTGTGTGTGTGACCATCGATGACTGTCCCGATAATTTCAATCATCGCTATCAGTAGTGTCAGTCAGCTCTAGCTGTCGATGACAACGATGTTTGTGTCGGATTAATAGCGAAACTTCGGCAAAAACTTGGTCACAGTTCGGTTGATTGCACCGGAGGTTGACATCGTGCAGATGGTGTTGTCGGATGTGCGCATACATGTGCTCGCGAGTGGGAAACGTGTCCGAACAGAACTTCCAGCCGCAGTTAACCGATTTGTCTTTGATGGCCGTCCAGTCGTACGCGTCGTTGGCCGTGGAGGAGGAGGAGGACAACAATGGCGACAACAATGGCGGCGGGCTATTTAGTCCTATATTTAAACCACCGCCGATAGTGTATCGGCTTAATATAGGCTCAAGGGTACGGACAGCGGTGGTCGTCAACGGTTTGGCTGTGATGGTTGTCTTAACCGTCGGTACGGTCGCATTCTGACCACTTTTATCGAGAAACTTCAGATAACTTTGCATATAGTCGGTTGTCTTAACCGTATTATCACTCTTAACAATACTATTATTTTTATTATCTGATCCAACATTATTCGTGTCCATATCGTCGTTGACCACATGTCGTCGGGATTTTCTTAACGGCAAACACTTTTGCTTCGATCTCTTACTGGCCTTCGGTTTACGTTTGGCGGCGGCGGTGGCACTACTGTTGCCACCGATGCCACCGGTTTTTTTACGACTACCCGTCGGGTTGGCCATCAATTTTCTACGGGGGTCAATTGGGGTCACAAATTTTTGGTCGACAAATAAAAAATCAAACTTTTTTTTCAAAATTTTTGTTGCGTTATAATAATTAATTGATTTTTTTCTGTATTAATAAACTTTTTACTGTTTTTTTTTTTACTTTTACTATTAATACTTAAACTACATTTACACATATATCTATATATATTTGGGACTATTTAGTTGTATTGATTTGTATAGCGTTTTATAGTATAAAAAAGTCCTATAAAGTCCATGTTATACATGTATCACTAAAAATTGATCATTGATTAGTCATTTGTTAAAATAAATTATTTTGACTAATATTTTAACATTAATATTAAAAAAAAATGTTTGTA